CAGGAGGCTGCGCCGGCGGGGCTCCTCCCCTGGGTCCAGCCTCTCCCTGGCCGGTGCACTCGGCACTGTCTGAGCACTGAGAGAAGCACGGTGCTGAAGTGCAAAGTGTAATTACAATTTGTCCTTTCATTTGTTGACACCGTTTTGCTTTGGCTACTTGCACATCTCCACGTATCGTGGCGGGAGCAGCTCTTCATCAGCACGAAGGCGCGTCCTGAGCCGGGGAAGGGCGAAGGCAGCTGCCGCACGGCCCTCCGGGGTTAAAAATAGCTTTTATTTGCCTCTCCCTTAACTCTTTTTTTTTTCTTTCCCTCTGTTTCCTGAAGAACCTTCAGCTCCTGAGGTCTCCTAAGGCCACTGGCGAACGGGAAATGGTAATTCTGCACACTGGGATGCCGAGCAGAAGCTGCTTTTAGTAGCTCCAGGTGCCCTGTTAATGCAATCAGTGCCTCCCTCCGGCCCTGCCGCGTGCCGGTGGGCACGGCGTGGCATGGCAAACACGGCCTGCCCCAGGACCAGCTGATGAGCTGCAGAGAGGCTGTGGCCAGTCCCTGGGAAGCTGCTTACAAAATGTGTCTTTCCCCAGGCAGGTTTTTAATTGAAAAGTCGCATTTTGGGTTGCTCTGCTTCTCTAGGATTAGATGTAACTGACATAGGAAAAAAAAAAATTATATGCTCCATCACTGGAGGGGTTTGAGACTGTTTGGACAGGGCTTTGAGTGACCTGGTCTGGTGGGAGGAGTCCCTGCCCACGGCAGGGGGATGGAACTAGATGATCTTTAAGGTCCCTTCCAACCCAACCCAGTCTATGATTTTATGACCCCATGATATTTTTTTATGCATAGCCAATTTTAAAGCAGGCAGGGTTGGAAGGGACCTTAGAGACAGCACAGTGGCTGTCCTCTCTCGGCAGTGCTTCTCACTTGGAGCTGCTCATTGTTTTCCAAATATTTGAGGAAAAAAACCCCCAAAATTCAACAACTCAAAAAATGGACTTCCTGGCCTGCAAAGCAGGGTACTGCAGAGAGGTGAGCTTCAAAAGCAGGCTGTTGGGTTATATGCAGAATCCCAAATTTTTAAGCAATTAAAAGAATTTTAAGTAGATTTGATGTAGCTACTTCTGTGCCCTTTTGGCTGAACCTATGCAAGCTAAAGGAGGGTGCCCCAAAGGCCAGCAGCTGGGGGAGCTGCTCTATGGCCCAGGATCGGGTTCCTGAAGGTCTTTGCCTAAATGTGCAGGAGAGTTATGTGGGTCCTACTGGTATTTTCTAATAGCACTGGTCTGGCTGTGAAATCCTGCAAAAATTAACACACACCAAACAAACCGGACCTTGCGTCTAGTTATTTCTGCAAATATTATTTCTGCTTTCATTTACAGAAGCAAATGAGAACTCCTTGTGCTCTTGGCCATGGGTGAGCACTATAAAAGCATGATCAAAGTGGCAAAACCTGCTGAGAACAAATACATTTTTGCACCTACAATCTCAAAAAAAAAATCACTCAAGTAACAGTCTCAAATACATACATCTATAATGGAATCGGACTCATTTAGGTTGGAAAAGACCTTTAAGCTGATGGAGTCCAACCATAAACAGCACGTGTACAATATTTTACATTGTGTGGGGGAGGTGACATGCTTGTGGCTGGGTGCTGGTCCCCGCTGCCACCGCAGTGCCCTTGTCTGTGTTGCAGCACCTACGGGGAGCTGACGAACTGCACGGCGCTGATCGCCGAGAGGCTCGACTGCTACTGGCCCAACCGGCTGGTGGATGAGTTCTTCGTGGCCGTCCACAAGCAGTACTTCAGGAACTGCTCGCCCTCCGGCCGGGCGCTACGCGACCCTCCCAACAGCGTCCTCTGCCCCTTCATCCTGCTGCCCGTCCTCGTCACCCTGCTGATGACCGCGCTGGTGGTGTGGAGGAGCAAACGCAGCGAGGGCATCGTGTCGGGACGCCTGCCACCGGCTCAGGGGAGGGGTGGA